AGAGTAATAAATTAAGTGCTTGCAAAGAATAAACCAGTTTTTCAAAAAACCCAAGCAAGAACATGTCCATTTTTCAGTATCGGTAAAATATTTATTATTAATCATCTTTTTTTGTAAGTCATTCCATTCTTTTTTAAAGTCTTTTCTCCAGGAGGGTTTTTCACAGCCATTTAAATATTTATTGTATTGCTGTTGACAATGTGGAATCAAATGATTAAGAAAAATATAAATTATTAAATCAAGCCGTGGTCGGAAAAATTTTGGTAAATAATCCCATTTTATGACTTTCCAATGGGATTCTATAAGCATTGTTATACAAAATATGCAAATTTTTTTTGCAGCTGATCGTGCTCACAAATCCCAGATCTCTTTTCTATACCAACTTGACCACAAGTAAGCCTACACATTTGGCAAATTGTTTGCAACGCAGAATTCATAAATTTCCTGTACTGATTCTCTCCAAATTTCCTCAGCTGATAAATAGTTACTATTTATATTAAGAATTAATGTATGTCGATGCATATGAGTTTCTAAAATTTCAATAATTTTTGGTCTTAAAGCTTGTGGACAAAAAATAAAGCTATTTTTAGCTTTTTTGTCATTCGTTTTTGGTAACAATATTGGATAAAAATTTATATCGATAAAATTAAATATATTATGTGCTGAATTAGAACAGTAAGTTATTATTTTAGGCTGTGTATTATCAGAAAGACGCCTTTTTAATGCTTTTTTTATATGCCAAAGGCATAATTGTACTTTGGCATGTGGCCAAATTTGTCGAGCAGCTGAAATTTGGGAAAAGTCTTTGTCCGTAAAAAAAAATCAATATCCTTCATTCCTAATTCATATAATGCTTTAAAAAATAAAGCTAAAATTTTAGTACGTGCCCCATTAGCTTTATTTTTGCCTTCTACAAATAAATAAGATAGTGCAAAACTTGCTCCATCATATTGCCCAATAATAGCATAAAGTTCATATCCAAGAATATTCATCTTGTACGTTGCATCAACTATGACCTCCTGACTTTTAATAATCTTAAAAAATGGCATTACAAAGCTGAAAAATTTAATTCCCTCCTTATAATTGCTTAGTAGGATTTAATATCTATGATCTTTTAAGAGAATTTCAGCTGAATTTAATTGATCTGCACTGTTTTTAATATATTCTTGTTTAACTAATATTGACCACCAAGCATGTACTTGCTTTTGAGTTAAATTGGGATTATCATATTCTAAGATTCGATAAATGTCACCTGGAGCAAGATGTATATTTTTTCGAATTACTTCTTTAATACTTTCATCAACATTAAATCGTTCAGGCCGTTTATGAATCATAGAATATTGAAGATGGATTAATGCAATTTTAACTTCTATATTAATACTAACTTTAACTAATCCATCACAACTAAATCACTCAATTGGTATTTGATCTCTTTGGTTTTCAATAGATTCATATTTCCTGGGTCTTTTTGCAAGCGATCGGCATTGAGAGCATTTATACCAGAAGGTTAAAATATTAGATGATTTTTTTGAATTATAAGAATTTCTATAGATGTAATAATATCCACACTCTCGCCTATTAGTTCAACAATTTTTTTTGATAATGTTTTTGAATCACTATCCATAGTGTCAATTAAAAGCTCACATTCAAAATCAATGCCCATTGAATCATTTTTTAAATATTCATTTATATTTGCAGCTAAAATTTTTTCATACAACAGTCTTGACATTTCTTTTGCCGTTAAAGAATTAGTTTCAGTATTAGGTTTATTGGACTGTTTGTATTGCAAAGAAGAATTGTAACGACAAGTATTGCAAGTTTTATGTTGATAAGTATCTTTAACGAAGTTATTTTAAGATAAAAATTTTGACAACTGTTGCATTTTAATAAGGCGTTATTTGTGGTATTGTTATCCATATTAGAGACAGAATTAAAATACTTCGCAATAATAACATTATAATATTAGTAATCACGATAGTAATTATTTAATGATAATATTGTGATA